TCTTTTTTTTGTTCATCATTAGTAATTAAGAAACAAATTAACTAATCCTTATAAATTTAATTAATCATTTAAATAATATTTTTGAAGATTGGGAACCCAAAATTGTTAAATCTGAAATATTTTCAATAAATATCAGTAGAACAATGGCTTTAGGATTTATTAATCTTGTACATTTATATAACATTGTAAAATATAAATTAAACTAAATTTTAAATTTAAGTTTAAATTAGAAATTAAAAAAAAAGAATAATTTAAAAGTACATTTTTTATATTTACATTCAATTTAAGGATTTTTTTTTTCCTGAAGATTTCATCAAATTCTTTGCAATATGTCTTTCTATCTATCTATTTCACTCATTTTATCTGTCTGTCCATCTGTTTGTCTGTCTACTTGTCATTGGTTTTAAACCTAGGACAACAACTAACAACAGCCGGGTAGTTGGGGCTGTAGTACCAAGACCAGTGGTCAAACCGTTATTTTTTTTTTTTTTTTTTTTTTTGTCAAAAATGTCTCTGTGATCTTTCTTCCTTTCTCTCTTTTCTTCCTTCACTCTCTATCTTTTATCTTTTCCTCCTTTCCATCTTTTTTCTTACCCATCCCAACCCACATTTCCTGCTGTCTCACATGTAATATCCCCCTCCCCTGTTGTCCGGCCGGTCACGTTGTTGTCCCAGTGTGCTTTATGCAGTGTGTGGCATGGAGGCATGCAGCTTTATAGAATTAAGCATGCTTGTCCCTGTCACCTTTTTTTGTTGCATTTGGAACTTGCTCTGTCAACTTTCGATTTGAGAAAAACACCTTTCATGTTTCCTTGATCTTTCTTTGCCAAGCCATATATATTCAGTCAGGAAATTATCTTTAATATGAAGTTTGTTTTTGTTTTGTTTTTTTTTGTTACAAAAGACAAATCTTAATAGACTTAAAAAAAAATTATTATTGCAACATAATAACAATAGTCAAAAAGTTATTGATGTGGGTTGCCATTTCTGCATCTTTTCATAGCAATTTAACTATCTCTCTCTCTCGACTTAATTCAGAGTGCAAACTATATTACTAACATTTAGTTTAACAGTACAAAATACCTAGAAACTGTATGATTTATAAATAAAATCAGTTTTTTTCATTTATAACATTTACATAAATTTTAAATGTATTCCATAATTAAAAAAAAAAAAAAAGAAACTATATTTATCAGTCATGTAGCCTGATCTTCCTTCAGTAATAAGGTGACATTACTTGATGTAAATAAGCCAACATGGCTCTTGTCATTCTATTACTGGAATATCTCATTTTTAGTAGTGAATATTAAGTTACTAATATATTGCATTTATTTATTTTTTTCATGCTAGTTTTCTTTGGATAGTTTTACTTTTCATAATTTAAACATTGGTATTATATTTTACACCCAATAGAGTTAATTGTATAGGTAAAGATTCTAGATGATTCATGTAGAAAATATAACTGATTCAGTTACCATATGGCTTAAATATTGCTGTCATACTTTGATGACATAGGTTTTGTGGTAAAAAGTAATTGAAAAAAATAATTTTAATTTGAAAATATATATTTTTAAATTCAAATTATTTTCTCATTTAACTTATTTACCTGTATTGTAAAAACATGATGGCAAGTATTTAAATAATTTTTATAATTGTGAGGATTTCTATCTATGAAGTTAACTCTAGCATTATGTAAAAAAAGAAAATGCTTTTTAAATCATTAAAAGTAAAGATATTAAAAAAAAACAAAAAAACTACCAGACAGAAAAAAGCAATACATTAAATGTCTGATATTCTTATTTATGTGATATTATATTATGTTAACATGAGGCATATTTTATTTGCTTATTGGTATTTAGTAATGACTACTGTTTTATAAACAGAATATCTCCTTACTAAGTAGTATTGATCAGGCTGTGAGACTGATAAATATATAAAGTAACATTGTGTTTTATATTATAGATGTTGGTTCTGGAAATAAATTGTTGTTTTTAATCAATATATACTAGGAACCTGTAACAGTTTTTTTCTTTTTTAAGGACGGTAGTTTACAATCAATTTGACAGTTTGTATTATTACACTAGTGTTAAGTGTATAAGTTCTTATGAATAGTTAAATTTTATAAAATTATGGGTTCATGAAAAGTATCTTTTGCAACAACAAATTTTCTCTGCACAATATTAAATTTCTATAATTTATTTATGGAAAAATTTGAAGAGAAAACTTTCACAGAGCAATATTTTTGCTGCTTCACAGCTTATTTGGGATCATGGTCTTATTTTCATTGTTTGGAATATCATGTGGTGGCCAATACATTCCCAGGTCTTTTTGGTGGTGTTTGACATTCTGAATGAAGCATCGCCATTATTCTATGAATTATTCTGACTAGTATCCTAATTTTTTTTTTAAATTTTTGTGGATCTTATTTAAAAGATTAATAAATATGGTTGGGTACAATTAAGAATAATATCAGGTAACAGTTTAAAACTTTTTATTATTTTGATGAATATAAAATCTCATGTGAATTGATTATTGCTTTTGTAACTTTTTTTAATCAAATTTTTTTTTTACAAGGTGATTGATGAGATAAAAAGTTTCTGTTATCTTGTTTTGTTGCATGACAGACGTCCTCAGACTAAGCCCAGGAACAGGGTATGTGATGACCTTGCACTCGGGTGTGGGAAAACAAAAGAAAAAAGATACAAAAACAAAACACTGTAATGCAATGACCTGTATGGCCTATATTCTGCAGTAGCATTAGCTTCTAAAATGTATTGAATGTAAATAAGTGAAAAAGAAAGATAATTATAAAATCATTGAAAAATAAAAATAAAAAAAAAGTTAAAAAATATTTGCATGTTTGCCAAATTTCTAGTTGGTAATTTTTTTCTCTTACACCGACACATTGGTAAGTTACCGATAAAACTAACATCTTTGCTTTTATAAGTTCCATCTACTCACCTGTATTTTCTTAAGTTCTATAACCTAAATAGATAACTGCTTCTCTTTCCTGCTGGTTAACACATTTCTCTTCAGAGTTATCAAAGGTAGGTAGTGAAGTCAAACAAGGTTTTTCTATCACCCAGTAATCCTGCTAAATCACCCACTATCAATTAAGGCTATAAAACAAGTAAAAGCATTTTGATGTTCCAATTAAAATTGAAGACATAAACTCTTAACCAATTTCATTATCCACCAAGCCATGACTTTTGTTAAAGTGTGGCATTTCTTTAAGATAGACAAACAAAAGATCGGGTAATGAATTAATCCATTGAAAAATTTAAGGCAATTTCACTTAAATTTAATATATATCTTTGGCATGGGAATGACTGCATTTTCTCTTAACCAGGAGATAATTTTTATGTCAAGTTATTGCCTCCAAATAATTGTCTTTAGTTAAAGTAAAATTTTTTTAAAAAGCAGCATGTAATTTACATACCAAATATAATAAAAACAAAAATTAAGTGCCATTGTTATTCTTACTTATTTGAACAAATATCCTTATCCTTGTTACTTTTATTACTGTGTGTGTGTATATACACACACACAGTTTTAAAATTTGCTCAATTTATAGGGGAAGTGTGTTCAATATCAGAGATATAATATTCATAAATATAGACAGTGAGAGTATAGGAATCAGCATTGCATTGTGATGGAGCTGTTCCACAACACTCACTCTCTCTATCTACACACACACACACACACACACACACAGGGTAATCATTCCCATGATGTAAATCATCAAATAGGATTTGTTAGGTTCATCCAATATGTTTGCATGGTTTTAAACACATACACATTTACACACATGTATATATGTCTGTGTATGTATCTGATTATTTGTTACTTTCAATACAATTTATAAATACACACACACACACACACACACAATATTTATTCACATATATAAACAAGAAGTGTGAATTTAACAGTTTTTTTTTTTTTTGTTTTTTTTTTTTTAATTAACATGTCATTAAATCTTGCTAAGTTTCTTTAATAAGAGTGGTTTTATTTTCATAATCTTGGATAATCCTCCAAAAAGGTGGGAAAATTCTGAAGATTGTGTGCTTTTAGTGGTAACAGTTGCAATCTTCAGGACTAGAGTAAATCGGTTTGAATAATACAAATAAAACAATTCTCTGAAAATCTTCAACCAGAAATTGGAGTGAAGTTCTTTTCATGGGATATTACTGGTAACACTTGGCCAGTTGTTTGTTTTTGTTCTCTACATCATGCAGAGAGGAGTAAACAAACATTAACATACACATCATATAGTAAATTTCCAGTCATGATTTCAACTTATAAAATACTCATCAATTGCATATAAATTTCAGACTGTTATCACAGATTTTATAAATATATGAATTTTTTTTTTTTTTTTTTTAAACAAACTAAAAAAGGATTATTGGAGAAACAGCTGTTTGCTTTCTTTCTCAGCAAACTATATAAAGAAATAATTTTGTTTGATCAACAATAATATTGAAAAGTGATTTTAAAAAAATATTGAAATTACAAGGAGTTAAGGATATAGCTTGTCTAAATATTAAAATCATTGCATATGGTTAATTGGTAGTATAACCTAAACAAGTTTTAACGCTGTATCAGGAATATTTTAACTTAATATGCACTAGCCTACCAACCTCCTGAACTTTCTATTTGCTAAGATGACTTTTTACTTTGAAAAATCATAAAAATTTGTTTTGTAACTTCTTTTACTGGAAATTCCTTCCCCTTCTTTCCTTCTCCTCCTCCTTTCTTTTGGTTAAGAGCAAGAAAGATGACAACTTATTGGTTCCATTAAAGGTTGGGTTTTTCTCAAACTACAGACAGGTAGGCAGAGTTGTTCCGGATGCCAAAGTCTGAAGGAACGGTTGAAAGAAGGAACTTCAATATTGATATTTGTGCATGTATTTGAAATAAGATTGATGCTATTCTTAATTTTTTTTTTTTTTCCAATGCACGATTTTAATGCATGCTCATTATTTTCCTTGTGCATGCAGGGATTCGGTTTTGTAACTTTCCAAAATAGTGCTGATGCCGACCGCGCACGAGAGAAATTGAACGGTACTGTGGTTGAGGGACGCAAAATTGAGGTGCATGGTCTTTTATCAGTTGTTTGGTAGCACTACACTGAGAGAGCTACTTTCTTATTTACTGTTTTTTTTTTCTTAAATTTTTTTTCAATATTTTTTCTCATTTTTTTTTTTCTATTTCTCTCTTACTCTTTTCTCTCTCTCTCTCTTTTATGTGTGGCAGTTGAATATAATTGTACCCTGTTACCTCTTTTCAAGAGGGGAAGGAAACATTTTTGTTTTATCTCACACTTTTAGATAAATAAATTCTTTAAAGAACGACACTAATATTAAATATATTTGTCCTAAAAGAAATTACATCAATATTATGTTCTTACATAATTTTATATAAATTTACATAGTAATTATCCAGAACAAATTAATGTCTTAATGTAATTTTAGCTATTAACTAATAACATTTTCAATCATTCATCAGACTTTTGTTACTACATGAGCCAGAATAAAATCTCCTGTTCAGCTCAGAAAAGGTTATAAAAGGATATTCTTGTCTACAATGAAATAATTTGTTTACCTGACATTTATTTGAATACCATGAGGGTTCAGTTGCTGTAAAAATTAGAATAGCTAATGATAAGTGGTGTACTACTTCCATCTTTGTATACTGCTCATTTTCTTACTTTTTTAATTAGTGTATTCTCTGGCCTTTCTGTGCCTGTTTACCTCTAATACCTTTCACAATACTTGGAGTGTAAACCTTAATAAGAGATCAAGGCTGAGTTACCTGTTGATCATTAGTTTATGGGATTCCTATTGAGTGTGTTCATTCCCACATGCCCAATTCTCTTTCATATCCAAGCTGAGGATACTTGGTTTTATGAAGTGTTTTGGAATATTGAGTCTTGTTCTTTTGAGGCATAAACAACATTCTATATCTCTGTCTGAACTCGTAAAACTATCCTTTAATCGAAGTGTTTTATTTGCAACCTTTCTGTGAACTCAGTCCTAAAGTGAAAGTCTTAATGTCAGGAAAAGTTCAATCAAAAATACCTTTATCCTTATTTTATTTAATTCTTTTTGAGTGCTGAATAGTTGAGGGGTGTATCTGTTAATGTGGAGCAAAATTGAATGAATTTCAAATCTTCACTAAATAGTGATTCTGTAATGATATACTTTATATGACTTTGGGTTATATCACTCAGCATTAAGATTAACTAAATGGAATCACATTTTAAGGTAAAAATATTAGTCTTGAAAGGGGGGAAGAAATGATCCTTGGCATTAGATGACCCACAGAGATATTTATGTTCAAGGAATTGATATCAAAGTTTTTTTATTGATTTTTTTTTTTTTTTTTTTTTTGAGAACTGTCATCTCTGAAAATTTCTTGCTAAGAAACCTTCTTAAATTATTTTTAGTATTTTTACTCTTACTCTTGAACAAACAACAACAACAAAAAGACAGACTTACTGAGAGAATTATAAATTTGATTTAAAGTGAAAAAGGAGATGTTACCCTAAATTTCTATTGTAAATACTTGCATTTACTTTAAAAAAAATAAAATAAAAACTGCACATTTCTTAAGACATGTTTGAAGTTAAATTAAAATTGCTCCAGGAGCAAAGTTCACTTTTGATGTCTTCTGTATAAGTGGCTTTAGTTCCAAGTAACTATTTATTGGAATGAATTTCATTTTAATAAATAAAAACAGTTTCTGTCTGTAATTCATGATTTTTCCTGTAGATTCTATAACATTTCTTGAATGATTTCTAAAATATTTTTGTTTTAATAATTACTAAGAAATTTTAATTCTATACATAACTCAGATAACAAATTCATTCTGCTATCATATTGAATCCACACACAGACTACTCAGTTTACTATTTGGTCTTTTTTTTATGGGGATGGTGTTAACCTCTCATCTATCACACCTTTTACACTTTGAATCCAGTTTTTCATTGCTTCTTATAATTTTGAAACATCATTAGTAAGTAGTTAGTACTTGAAAGCTGTTTACAATAAGTTTTTCCTATCTGGTTGCTTCATTAATATACAGATGCCTCTTGTTTTATGATGGTCCAACCTCATTTTTTTTTTTTACTTTTATTATCATGATAGTCTCTTGAAGACTGAGGAAGATGAATGCTTTATGCAGTCAGTGTCTGTAGGCATGTATGAGACTTCTGAGACCCAATTCTGAAGTGGCAGGTGGGGCAAGAATGACTATCGTTGCTTTCTTGGTTTGCCTTGAGGCACTGCGTGCAGCAGTTGGTTTAGAAGTTTTGCTGCCTTGGAGCATAGATTGCATCATTTAGACTGATTAGAAACCATCCATTTGAGGTTATAGGGCTGGAATTTGGCACACTTGAGGTTTGATTTGAGATTGTCTTTGTACCTCTTCTTCTTTGAGTGACCTTGAGTACAGCTGCCCTGCTCCAATTCTCCATAGTGAACTTGTGATCTTATGATCCTACAATAGCAATGGGCATTCAGTAGTTATGAAATTTATAAAGTTAAAATTTTCCATTGGTGAGTGATGCCATACTGGTTTGATAATGCTGTACCATATTTCTACTAGTACCGGGATGAAGTAGCAACCTCCAGTCTCAATCATGACTGTGAGCATGAATATATCCCAGTGTTTAACAGTTTTTTCTATAATTTTAATCAAATTTTCAAAGCTCCTGACTATGCCTGCTAAATGTTCATCACTTATTTATTGTGAAAAGAGAAACATTTTAACTTGTGATTTTTCTCTTTACAAATGGACCCATTCGAATGAAACCCCATTTTAAGTAGAAAACTTGTAATTAAAAGATAAAAATAAATAAACCCCATGAATTAAGTTTTATTCATTAAGACAAATTTGTATCTGGAAATAAAAATGAGTTTCTTTATTTTATTTTATTTTTTTTTTTAAATATTGTTCAATACAACTTACCTAATTGAAGAAAAAATATACATTAAAACTGTTTCATGAAGCTTACCATAATTTCTTTTATTCAAACTAAGACAGTTTTCAACTTTTATTATAGGTTTATATTTTTTTTTATAATGTTTTCATGATTCAACATTCCTAAAGATTCAGTGTTGATACATAAACAAGATACAAATGAATACTGATAGTTTATATTACCAGGACATATTCAAACTGGGACAATCCTGATTAAACTGAGACCTATATATGATAAGCCTCCCAACACAACTAATCACTTTTAACCATTTCAAAAAATGCTTCTGCAGTATTTTTAAATAGTTTTGTTCAATGAAACAGAGGTCCATTACAAATGAATAATATATATGTTTGTTTATGAAAATTGTTTCCTTCTACTTTGAAAATCATCTTGGGTCCAATATTATACAACTTCCTCTCATTATTTTCTTGTGCAGTATTAAGAAATGCCTGTCTAAACCTCGTTTGTTTGTGTTGTAATGCCTTTGTTTTAGATGAAATGATTTGAGCGCTCCTTACCAAAGTGATGACTAGTAAGAATCTTGCTCCGTGCAGTTACACCTAGTTTTCGTGTTGCCTAATGGACATATCTTAAAAAGTGAAGAAAAAAACAAACAAAAAAAATAAACTAACTATATATATATATATATATATATATATATATATATATATATATGAGATATGCTTTTCACAGGACAGAAGAGACAACTTACAGAGACTGAGAACTATAATACTCAGTCTAAATTCATATCTGAAGAATTAGGTTAATTTTTTTTTTTTAATTTAAACTTTCAGCAGCAGACTTGCTCATTTCTCAATTGCCTAATTCAAGGCAGTGATTTGTAAGAAAAGACAAAAAAAAAAGAATTACAAGGTTTCTGTAAGGGAATTATCTTCTTGTGCTGTGTAAAATGCCTTCTTCTTTTAATTGGTCTTATTTTTACTATAATATCCTTTGTCTTGTGCAGAACATGATTCGGCAAAAAGTGAGAATGAAAAAATTGGTGAATTCAGGGTAAAAATCTTATCAGTCAACTGTGCATCGAGGTGTTTCTTAATTGCCCGGCATTTCTTGATTCTGTCGTGTTTTTTTTTTTTATTTTTATTTTTTTTTATTTCGTTGTTTTCACTTCCCCTCCCTACCTTTCTTTTCTTTACCTTTCAATTGATCTAGCATCAGATTATGAGGAGGAAACACTATCTGCCTATTTAAACTTCAACTTATCATTTAGACATTTTTTTCCTACTTCTTAAATGTCTGCTTATATTAAACTATAGCACCAGAAAAAATATTTTTTAAAACTAAAATTCAGTTATTTACTCATTTCAGTATTAAAAATCTATAAGTTGAGATTATTTCTTGAAAATTTGTGCAGGTGATAAGATTTAAGTTATCCTTTTCTTTCTTGGCCTTCATTTTCCCCTTTATATTCTGTTAAATAGTTTTATAGAATCAGAAATAAATTTCAAATAAAGTCTTGCTATCAACTTGTATTCAAATATGTATATTGAAAATCATTTGTGCTATTCTGGAAATAATCTCTTCACAAAACTTCTGATACTTAGTTTGGTCAATTAATATTTATACAAACATCAAATTCTATATTAGATTTTAGAAAAGCTTCATCAACATTTAAGGTTGCTGTTAATTCTGCTACAAGAGGAAATCCTTAACTTCAGCAGTTCTGTCATGAGCAGGTGTGGATAATATACTGACTACCTGTTCTTTAGCATTTATTCTCAATAATTAAAGAAATTAACTTTTATGAGCTCAACAGATATATCAGAAAATCATTTTAAAATTATTTGGAAAAAAAAAAAAAAAAAAAATTGAGTCAACTGTAAATTTTATTGGCCCATTGTATCAAGGTTAAGCAACATTGCATTTTCCCCATGTACAAGATTTCACAATTTGGGATCAGAATCAGCAAACTATGAAAAAAAAAAAAAAAAAAAAAAAATTAGAAACAGATGCTCTGGTTTGTTCTTAACTTGTGATTAGATAAATGATTTACTTGTGGAGGGACTGAATTTTAAAGGAACACCTTAAAACTGTTTCTATCTCTTGAATCATGTGAACACGAAATAGCTTATTAAAATAGTAAATAAT